AACATAACGCCATATGACCCCCACGACCAGTGCTTGGGGGGTGGTGATTTCGGGTTAGATAACCCCCCCGCTCTTTAAAGTCCCCAAGGTTGAGAAACACTGCTTTAGAGAAACATATGTGGGTCTGATAACATGCAGGGGCATCCAGAAGTCCAAAAGTGACAGAAACTCCACCCTTTTTTTTACATGCATTGCCATAAACCAAGAGGTGGAGTTGCCGTCATGGCTGCCATTGTGACTTTTTTTGACTCCCTCCACATCAATGCCCCGATAACCATGCTGAATATAAGCAGAAGAGTGACTAGGCAGATCCGTCTGATGCACTTTTCACGTTGTGCTTAGTTCTTCGAGGTGTCCAAATGGAGAGCATTGTTCCAACCGGCGGTTTCAAAGGAAGCAGCACGCAGATGTGGAAGTCATTCTGACCGAGAAGAAAGGCTGGGGCTTGAGAGCGGCAAAAGACCTCCCTTCGTAAGACTTCTCCAGATCGAACCCTCCTCACCCCCACGGGCACTTTCTTTTGAGAAGCACAGAAACTTTCCAAAAAGAAGGCTCTCCTGATTCTGTTGTCCTGGGGTAGATTCTTAGCTTCATTATTCCATGAATCATGAACAAAGGCACCAGCCTTTAGGGTTTCCTCTGCAATGGTCCCAGGGCTCCAGAACCAGAACAAGGCTCTCATACACCCCCCCAAACAATTAGTAAAACCGGAGGCTGACAAAGTTAAAGTGAAACAGCTTCAAACCCCTCTTCCCCTCCCCATCATCCTCAGAAGAAAATGGGTAGTGGGAACAAAGGTATCATCATCTCACTGTAATCACACAACGCGCTTGAGCAGCTTAATCACAAACTTAGCACTCTTAGTTTTAACCCTGGTTGGGTTTTGTGTAGCAGAACGTATCGCACAGACCCTGCCTGCTTTCGTTTAGGGCTCAGTGTTTTGTGCAAACTCAGAAAACAGATCGATTCAACAAGCCCATTAAATATACTGCGTACCACAGCCTATATCTGTATGGTCTACCATTCAAGTCAAGCTTATCTATGGGTGGAGCATGGGGCCCATTTAGTAAGATTCAGTAGGGTAGGTGTGGAAGCCATGATAAACCTCACTTGCATGGACCTTTTTTATTTTTTTGCACACACCATGAGAATTCATGAAACTGTCTTTAAGGAGGTTGGCTGATATGCCGTCTAAATGAGTAATGCCTAGTCTGATCCAGATTTGCTCGGCTACCATGATGTCGAGGCCCTAGCACCAGCCCAAGATCAAGGAAACTAGATCCACGCAGAGCCTCATTAATGAGCTTTAATGGCAGGAAAAAAGAGATTAGAAACTCTTGGAAACTCGATAAGTCTACTCCAGCACTTATCTATTAGGGAGTCCATGAAGGTGAAGTCTCTGAGTAGTCTGATAGTTTTTTCTCCTCCCAGATTTCCCAGCGGCTGGATCCACGGCTTGCTTAAGACATAAGCTGAAAGGCCTGTCAGGAAAGCCTCCTTTTTCTTTCCTTGACTCAGAATGCTTTTACAGCTGATGGATATGCTGCCTACGATGAGGGGATTGTAATCCAGAACATCTCTAACATACTACCTTGACCTCCAGCTGGTTCCCAAAACTTCCTGCAAGAGCCCTTTACTAGTCTGGCCACGGGCAGTCTTGGTAGACATGGCTGGAGTTCTAAACTTATATATGGGTAGGAAGAATTTAGTCTATGCCAGTGTTTCTCAACCGTAGCGACTTGAAGATGCATGGACTTCAACTCCCAGAATTCCCCAGCCAGCATGGTTGAGAAGTTCTGGTGTAGAGAACAGTGTGATGCTAGTAAATTACATAAGCTCATTCTACAAAGTTTGGTAAAGGATTAGGACGCATCATTTTAAACTCTCAGCTTCAGTTCAGTGACGGCCGCCTTTCTAATTGCAGTTTATCTTAGATTTTTAGGAACGAACCCTGATTCCCAACGCAAAGGAATAAATAAAGCCAATACTGCAGTACCATGTTTCAGTGTTCCCAGTTAGACAGTAGCTAATCCATAGGAAACTGTTAAGCCTTGGATTTAGCAGTTAGGCAAAACAGAGGGCTCTTTCCTGGTTTGTAACAATTAGCCCTTTCTCAAATCTGATGGGAAAATATTGCCCATTCTAAGAAACCCTGCTGTATATAGGGAGCGAGCCCCTTGGCCTAGCAGAAATTTGGAGCAGTGACTCTGTTTAAGGCAGCAAATCTGCCACGCTGTCGAGATTCAGTTTGTGGTTCAAAGCTCAGGTCCTGCTGTGTTTCAGATGTGCGTGCGTGCATTTTAATCTTCTAATCTTTCTTTGGGCCTGCTTAGTAACACCTTTGTCCTGGAATACTGTGGTGAAGTGCTGGATCACAAAGAATTCAAAACCAGAGTGAAAGAATATGCCCGAAACAAGAACATCCATTATTACTTCATGGCCTTGAAAAATGATGAGGTGAGTGTCAGCATTCGTGGTAAAACAGGAGCAACTGCAGCCTATGCCGTCGTTGGTACAAGTGAATAAGAGTGTTCTGCGTTGGCAGTGGGGCAAATTAAACTGGGTGGGTTGGGGATGAGGTACAGCGTAGAGCAAAGAATTGTGCCTAAGTTCTCCCTTCTCCCTTCACTTAGAACAACGCAGTAGCTATTCATAACAATATTATGCTGCACTAATTGAAAGAGTAATAATTATTAAAAGGATGTCCTGTGAGATTTTTAATAATGTTTAGGTACTTCAGTTTAGTTTAGTTAACTTGGTATACAGAATCTCTGGGCAGTCGTAGCTGCTTTTTACATTGGAATTGGCATACAGTTGATACTAGCTTACATAGATCTGTGTGTTTGTATGTTTCATTTTTTTGAATCCAAGGTAGGGTCTCTCTTTGTTCAGGTAGTCCTCGCTTAACCACAGTAATTGGGACCAGAAACTCCATCGCTAAGCAGCTCAGTCATAAAGCACAATGTCACGTGAACGTGCTGACTTACAACGGTAGTTCCAGGACTTCTGGTTGCTGTTGTTAAGCGAGTCCTGCATTATCGTTAAGTGAGGACATCCCATGATTGCGACTTGCAACTTCCTGCTGGTTTCCCCATTGACTTTACTTGTGGGAAGCCAGCAGTGAAGATCACAAATCTGTGGGATGCTTCAATGGTTGGAAATGCAGGCCAGTTACCGAGTGTCCTAATCGCGATCACTTGACTGTGGGGGCGCTGTGACAGCCAGACTTTGAGGACCGGACATAACTTCCACTTGTTCAGCACCATCATAACTTTGAATGGTCGCTGAAGAGGTGGTTGTTAAGCGAGGACTACAGCTATTTCCCTTTTTTTTCAGATAATAGATGCAACACAAAAAGGGAATTGCTCTCGTTTCATGAACCACAGCTGTGAACCAAATTGTGAGACGCAGAAGGTGAGTTGTGGAACGCTGCTTTTGGCACAGCATCAGCTTTGCTTTGTCTTGCGGATCGACATATTTCATAGAAGCATTTTTAAATTACATCCACTGCAGTAAGTGCCGGCATGATGGTGAAATACTGTCATTAGTTGATCTCTAGTGATTTTAAAATAATGCTGACTATAAAACTTGCTGGTTTAAAACTTGAATCATGGTTCTCAAGATGTCACTTGTGTTGTGGTTGAACCACTTATACACATTATATTAAGTCATAATGAGGTTGATTTTGGTCTGGTGAGATGTGCAAACACAGCCATTCTGGTTGATAAACATTGGTTTATGGGTTAAAATTATTTTTAAACCACACTATGGCTTAGTACACTGTGTGGACACAGCTAAAAATACAGGTGGGAGGCAGGTTCTGACCACAAACTTCAAATGCTTGTCATTAATTTCATTTTGTAAATAATAAGCTAGTAATTATTATTATGAAAATATGACACCAACAAGTGAAAAATGGCTTGGAACATTTGGGAACTTCTGTGTTGTTTGATCCCATGGAGTCTATTCTTTGAACCTAAACATTTGGATTAACTTTCTGTAGGCTTTGCCCCATGAAATGGTTGTTGAGAAGGAATTTGTTCTTCCCAGCATTTTGGAAATTGTTTTCTGAAGTTGGAATTCTGTGTAGAGTTGAGTTTCTTACATAACGAAGAAGGATCCAGGGCGCTTCCCCACCACTTTATTTAAGAGGATGTTAAAACCAAGTTTATGCTTTAATGTTCATTATGATTTCCATACATACACTAAGACATGCTAGTAAATTTTAAGGCCAGTGTTGGTGCTCAACAAACCAACCGTGCCTGGGGTTTAAGATTGGCTTTGTTTTTGTTTTATCTGTTGACTATTTAAGGTCACTCTGATTTTATCAGTCTAACTCATGTTTTAAAATGGAGATCCATAAGCATTATTTTCAGCTAATGAGGTCCTGCTGAAAGCTATGAGAGGCTGGGAGGACAGGAGACAGGATCTGGGGCATGAGTGCTGTATCAAACTAAGAGGATGAGGCCCAGGATGATGAGTAGAAAGAGGTGCTGTTCAGGACAAAGTGCTGATGGCAAATCAGAGAATCAGGAGTTCCCATGCAGAAAAATACGGGCCTAAAAGTCAGTGTAAGTTGCATGCAGGATAGGCCAAGAAGCTTTGGGTGCTAAGGCCATTGTTGGTCAAGAATGGCCCAAGAGAAGCTTTGTATGTTTGCTGAATTTCACCATGTTTATTCTTTTGTGAACATTAAGCAAGATAAAACTTAGACATTGGGTTAGTTTGATTTTATTGATATATTAACTGGACTTATCAACCAACCGAACTCAAACAATGTGGCTCTGGGTGGCATACCAACCCCCTTACCACAATAACAACAACAACCCCCAGGGGACTCCCATTTAACTGGACCCAAATGCCTGGGGATTTAATTGGATTTGATTTCTAGGAATGATTAACTTGATGACTCTTCAGGCAAATAAGCCAGAGTTGAAAATAAGAAGGCTTCCTGTATGTCCCTCAGTATCCTGTGATCAGAGATATCCTAGGTTAGCTTTTCCCAACCTGATGTCATCCCAGCTCCCAGAATTCCTGCCCATTCTGGCTAGAGGACTCCAGAAGCTGCAGCCCAAATACATCGGGGGGTGGGTGGGTTGGGAGTTACACTGGGTGGACCTTCAATCCATTCTTATACAAGATACTGATGTTTTTTTCCTGTAGAACTGAAACTAATTTTCAGTGACCAGCCCAAGTAAAAACAGCATGTGCCAGTTTGAAAACTGCAGACAGGAACATAGGTGGTTGTTTACATCAGCCACTTCCCATTTTGATGGAAAGGGAATGCTACAAATTCTAGCTAAAGAAAGTTGGTGTATGTTCGTATAAAGTACATGCATGGTTTTCCTGGTTCTTTTGACACAGGTTGGCATTTTGAGGCCAAGGACTTCAAAGCATCATTGATTTCTGTTTTAAAAATTAAGATGCTGCAGTTATGAATGTGCCAATTAAGCCTACTGTCCTCTGTTTCCCCCACTTTAGTGGACAGTGAACGGGCAGCTGAGGGTTGGCTTTTTCACCACCAAGCTAGTATCATCTGGCTCGGAGCTAACTTTTGACTACCAATTCCAGAGATACGGGTAGGTGTTGCTTCCTTGTTTCACTCGCTTTTCCTTGCTGTTGCTCTCACACGAGCAGGAGCAGATTTAATATTTTCCAGCTTTCTTGAAAATATTCCAAGTGGCTTACAGGGGCGAAGTTGAACTCAACAATATGCTTGAGAGTACAGTTGATTAATTAGTTTGGAGAGTAGAATCTCTCCATCTTTTTGTTAAATGTCCTTTTTATCACAGAGAGAGAATGAATCAATCAATCAATCATCCTCTAAAAATGAGAGCAGAACTTTTAGATATTCTGACTACTTTGAATGTGAGAATAAGAAACTTGCTTGATACATAGTGTTGTCTGAATGATACAGAAGGTATTTTGATTTAGTGTTGATTAGTTTTAATTTGTATGATAATCTGCTCTGAGAATTTTTCTTACATGGTGATCTTTTCATTGCTCTGCATAAGACACTTCCTTTGAATCAACTGTTCAGCAGCTAATGTTTGTTTTAATTTATATAAAAAACAGACATGGGGTTAGTTTTTAGGGTAAGTAACGTCTTTCTTTTTTTGTAAGAATAATTTTGAGTTGTATTTATAACATAAATTTGTACATTCTTTTAGCCTTGATAATGTAAGAAAAAGATTGATACATCCTTCATTTGTCATATTAAATGAAGGACTTACGTGGAACGCATACTGCATTTTTTACAGAGGTGTAAGAAATCAAGAAAGATGTCTAAAAAGTAGGGAAAAGAAGAAGAAATGAAAAGCTAAATAATAGATAATACAAAAGCTAAATAATAGATAATACAAAAGGATGGTAGGAGTTAAGCTCAGAAATGTTTGAGGTTTGGAACTGTGAAAATAGTTGTCCGTTCTGCTATAGAATACATTATACAGATAAAAGGAACTTTCAGGAAGAGTACCTTATTTAGTAGATAAAGCTGGAGACCACCTAGGTTCTTGAAAATTAGACAGAAGTAAAAAACTATAGAGTAAAAATGTCACAAATTATCTGTTTGTCTGACAGATTCTTGATAAACTAGATTTTCCCACAACTCCCTTCACAACCCATTCTTACTTTAGGCTGTTGTACTTCAAAAAGTATTCTGTCTATCTGTCGCTGGATTTCAGTTACTAGCTTTTAACCATTAGCTGACATTGATGGTAGCAATTCAAAGTAATGGTGTCTTGTTTGGGCTGTTGACGAGGTGATGTCTGTTTCATTCACTCGGTGTTGTGATATGTGTTTCAAACAGCAAAGAAGCACAAAAATGTTTCTGTGGCTCCACCAACTGTCGGGGTTACCTCGGGGGAGAGAACCGGGTCAGCATTAGAGCCGCAGGAGGCAAAATGAAAAAGGAGCGGTCGCGTAAAAAAGATTCGGTAAGTGTTGAAGCAGTGGGGCAGTGAGAGTTTTAAAACTGGGCAGCTCGAGTGATGGCTTTTGATGTCCTTTGATCTCCCGCTGTCTCCCCAAGCTGTCTAGGGCCGGACAGGTGCCCCAGACCAACAGAGCAGCATCATTGTCACTGTTCTGTGGCTTTGGGATCCTTTTGCACTGCCCCCTCCAAGCGTGCGAGAGCTTTAAGGCCTGATTTTCCCATTGTGATATTGTGGACCCATTTGCTCAGTGTGGTACTTTCTCCCGTGAGCGGAACGTCCTTCTCATTTAATGCTTTGCCTCATGTAAGTAGCCCTGCATCTCTGAAGCCAGTATTAAAAAAAAAAAATCAGTGGTGTGAAACTTTAGACCAAAAGCAGACAATCTGGTGCCTTCCTGTGTTTTGGATTACGGTACGTCCCCTGCAGGCCTTATCATTAGCCAAGCTGCTTGGATATTGGAGCGGTTGCCAAAAGATCTGCAGGCCTCTAACTTGCTCGCTCCTGTTTTGGACTATGGATCCAACATTAAAAAAAACCTCTTAATTTTCAGCAAGTTAATAATTCATCTTTTAATTTCTTTTGCATATTTTTATTCTAAAGCATTTAAGGAATAAAATAAAAGAATTCTACATAAAAAAGGAAGTAAAAGATTAAATAGTGGATGGAAAATAAAATATCAGTAAATAAACAATTTACAGTTGACATAAAATTTAAAATTCAGGATTTCACTGATTAAATAATTAATTGAATATATAAAACCAGGCTCATCATATCATCTTAAGGAATGATTCCAAATCACTCCAAAACTCTAAACATTAATATTTATATTTCTGTTTATATTTATTTCTGAATTAAATGGACATGATCTTGTAAAAAAAAAACAAGAGAGAAAATAGATTTTTGTGTTATTCGATATTTTTTTAAAAAATAAAGCTTGAATTGAAACAGTTATTTTCTGCTAGGGAACTTTCCAGAACAAATAAATAAAAAATATCACAATTTATTAAGAGATGCTTTGACAGCTGCTAGGACAAATTTGTCCCAACATTGAAAAAGAGATACTTTGCTGACAATATCAGACTAGGAAACCAAATTTGGGGAATAGGCAGCAACGACAAAATTACCAGTATACATCCAGAACAGGAGCTTGACTAAGGTTAAGTGAGAAGGCCCTCCCTACATATTGTATGCCATTCACAAAACAAATTTAGATTCTTAAGAGGGAAATATTTGAGGCAAAAAGAGTAACCAGAAGCAATTTTAATGTTTCTGAATATTTCAGTGTAATTATCAGTTGGATGCAGTGGGAGAGAATTTACAACTCATTTGACTTAATTAAATTTCTAGCCAAAGTCATATTGGAATTTAGGAGCTTTGCTACAGTTCTACAGGTATGAGACAGGGAAGTACTGAACTGTCATGCCAGCAAAGATTCTGAATAAATTTGACCCAGCAAGAAAAAAGCTTACAAAATTTTGGTGACTGGCGTAGAGTAAGATTGTTGATTTATGGGGCACTACATAAATGTTCAGATAGGATTTAGAGAGTTTTTTTTAATTGTAGATCTGTTAAATTTAGGATATGCTTACATTGTCAGTCTTCTTCTGTTGCTTTGGAGGTATTAACTGTGATTAGCCATCGGTGTGTTAGTACCTTTCCTACGTGATGTGTTTATATACAAAAGGAATTTCTTTAGGAACAGGATTAAGCTTTTTACTTAAGAAAGATCTAGAGAGCAGTTATAGCTTTGTGGGTTCAAGATGGCACCTGATCTAACCCAGGCGGTGCGCTTAAAAACAAAAACCAGCCTGAACTCAGGAATCTGTGGGCGAGTGGACAGATTCTGTGTCTTTTCTGCAACTTTTCCTTTGGCTTTTGTAGGTGGATGGAGAATTAGAAGCACTCCTGGAGAACGGCGAAGGGCTTTCCGATAAGAATCAGGTCCTCAGTTTGTCCCGCCTGATGGTGCGAATTGAGACCCCGGAACAAAAGCTCACCTGTCTCAAACTCATACAGGTGAGACCCCGGAACAAAAGCTTGCCTGTCCTGTCTTTTGGTTGTGATGTGGTTGGCGGAGATATTAAGGGGTGCTAAGTGGAGAGGAGGAAAAAAAATGAGACCCTGGGATTTTTATGGCCTGGGGGGTTGGGAGTTACTGATGTAGGGAGAGTTTCCCATTCTCTGTTTAAAATGGGAAGGTATTTCAGTGAAAGCAAGAGAAGGTGCTGTCTTCATTCTTAGAAACCAACACATAGACCTTTATGCTGCACCACTGAGAGCAAGTTCTTGGCTGGCTGAATGGGGGACTCCATAGTGGAGAAGAACGAAAAAGATGGGACTTCAAATTACTTCCAGTATTTTTTTAGAAAGCATTCAGGAATTTGTGATAGGGCAGAGCTCACTCCTAGAGCAGAGCCCCTGGATTGCAGGCCGAATTGTAGCAGCTGCCTGAGACTCTGGGTAGCCTTGGCAAGATTGGGCTAAATGCATCAGTGATCTTACCAGTGAGACAAAAAACTAAAACTCTACAGGCAGTCCTTGTTTAGTAACTACCTCAGATAGCGACTGGCCACAAATAGGATGGTAATAATAATATAGTTTTGCGACCAATATGTGCATTTACGATCTTTGCAGTGTCTGGCTCTCAGTCATGTGTTCGCCTTTACAGTTAGTTAGTACGGTATCGCGCATAACCCGCTCTTATTTTCACTTGCTTATTTATTTGTTTACGCGCATTTATACCCCATCCCAAGATGTCTTCAAAGAGAAAGAGCCCCAGCTCAGCTGAAGGAAGAAGCAAGAAGCAAAGGAAAGCCATCGATCTCAATTTGAAGATGAAGATCATCAAAGCGTATGACGCCGGGAAGAAGGTGAATATTATAGCGCGAGAAGAAGGCCTGGCCCATTCCACCATCTCCTGTATTTTGAAGGATAAGGAAAGGATCAGAGAGGCAATGAAAGGATCGCCAGGGACCAGAGCAGTGATAACAAGACAGCGAAAAGGCCTCATCCACGAAACGGAAAAACTCCTTATGCTTTGGATCGAAGATCAGATACAGAAGAGGATGCCGGTTGGCCTCCTCCTCATTCAGGCTAAGGCACGCAGCATTTTCCAAACGCTGAAGGAGCGAGCAGGTGAGGAGTGCACCGAAACGTTCACGGCCAGCCGTGGCTGGTTTATGCGGTTTCAGCGAAGATTCAACTATCACAGCGCGCACGCATCAGGTGAAGCTGCAGGTGTCGAAGAAGTTGCCCAACGTTTTCTGAATGAACTTGATGATATCATAGCAGAAGGGAACTATTTGCCTGGGCAGATATTCAATGTGGACGAAACCGGGCTATTCTGGAAAGCAATGCCAGAGCGGACATACATACACAGAGAGGCCCAAGCAATGCCTGGATATAAAGCCCTTCAGGACAGAGTAACCTTGCTGTTGGGCGGAAATGTCGCCGGATTCAAGCTGAAGCCCTTTCTGATCCACAAATCAGAGAATCCCTGCGCGTTCAAAAACATAGGCGAACACACGTTACCCATTTATTACCGATCCAATCGGAAGGCTTGGATGACACAAGTTCTCTTTGAGGATTGGTTTATGAATTGTTTCATACCCCAAGTAAAGGAATATTGCTTGCAGAACAGAATTCCTTTTAAAATTCTCCTGCTCCTCGACAACGCACCTGGACATCCCCCGCATCTCGACGACCTCCACCCAGATGTAAAGGTAGTTTATCTACCCCAAAACACCACCCCTTTCCTACAGCCTATGGACCAGGGAGCTGTTGCAACATTCAAGGCGTACTATTTACATGCAACGTTTGCCAAAGCTGTAGCTGCAGTGGAGGATAAGAGGGTGACGGTGCGTGAGTTTTGGAAAGACTACAATATCCTCCATTGCATCAAAAATATCGCAGCAGCATGGCAGGATGTCACTCTGAAATGCATGCAAGGGATTTGGAAAAAATGTTTAAAACGTTTTGCTGTTCTTGTAAATAATTTTGAAGGTTTTGACCAAAACGAAGATTTGGATGAAATAAATAAGAAAATTTTGACACTCACAAAATCCCTTGACTTGGAGGTTGATGCTGAACATGTGAAAAATTTGATAGCCTACACTGAGGGAGAGCTTTCAAATGAAGATTTAATTGAACTGAAGGAAGAATTGAAAGCACAAAGGGCAGAAGAGGAGGAAGAAAAAGAAGAAACTTTAGAAGTTGAGCCCAAAATGTTCAGTGTTAAAAGATTGGCTGGTGTTTTCTCAGAAGTTAACAAAATTTTATCAGAATTAGAAAGTATGGATCCAAATGTAGAACGTTTTAGAAAGGTTCATCGGGAAATCCACAAAATTCTAAAGTGTTATCATGAAATATATGAAGAAAAAAAGAAAAATACTGCACAAAGCAAACTTAGTGGGCTCTTTAAGACAGTTAGTCCTTCCTCCATTCTATTTCCCTCCCCATCCGCAAGACCCAGGCGATCTTCAGCCATCAACCAGCTATGCTAGTGTGTCCAACGTTTCTGAAAACAAGAACAAGACTAATCTTTTGAAGGATTTATATCTGATTAATTTGATGTTTACAGGTACTATCACTGTAAAATCTGATTTTGTACTCTTTTTTATTTTTATAATGCAATATTATTATGCCCAATTTTGTACTTACATAATAAACCAACTTTTCATACACTGAGTTTCCATTTAACCTTTTTGTTTCTATTTAGGCTACTTGTAAAAAAATAGGCATACAGTATTAAACCAAAGCTTTAAAAAATGTTCATACGTTTTAAATTGTCGTAATGACATGCGACGATTTAAAAGGTAATAAATTATCACAGTGTATTTTTTTAAAGGCAAAAATAATAATATGTGGTAGTCTTTCGGGTTCGAAGAAGACATGCTTTTGTGCAGTTCATCTGTGGACACGGAGGTGGCTTTGCAGTCCTGGTCTAGAAGCACAGAATTAAAGAGATCTTTGAAGTAGAATGTACAAAATGTTGTTAAAAATGTCCACTTCATGAAGGATAAAACAAATTGAGTATGGAAGTCTGAAGTAAAGTTGTAAGCACAGTCGTGGTCACACCTAGGTTCCTGCAATTTTCACTTAATGACCATTTCACTTATGAATTGCAGTTGCTAAACGAGGACTACCTGTATTTACATTGAACAGACCTCAGCCTTCATAGATCTCAGTGGAATTAAATATATATTTATATGTCAAGCCCAATCTACTCTTTTTTTTACTGGCCTTTTACACAATACATATGATGACGATGGGTTGCTTGCTTTACCAAACAGTTCTGTGTCATTTGCTAAATCACAATATTGCTTTGAAAACTTGGCCCTATTCAAAATTTTGTATAGTTTTCACTTTCTGAGACTCTAAAATGGTTCTGCACATTCCAGAGAAATTAAAGCTCTTCTGGCACAATGGAATTATTGACTGTAATGGCGAACACATGACAGAGAGATGCTGCAAAGGTTGAAAATGCGGGCATTGGTCGCAATGTTGTTTTGTCATCGGCCATAACTACGAATGGTCTCTGCCCAAGGCAGTTGCTAAACGAGGACTACCTGTATTCTAATGACTGGATAATTAAATCTTTTTTCTTATGGGGTTCTAAATAAAATAAAGTCACTTGGTTGAGATGGGTGACTATAGAAATTAAAATAAATAAATAAAATATAAGAGTAAACTAATAAAAGAGCCTCGCACCATCATAGACTCCCTTTGCCTCCCTTGACAGTGCAGAGCTGAAGGGCATTCCGCCCCCCCCCGCCACTAAACCTGATCCTTAAGGATGGAATTTCCCTCCAGCCAAGCAAATGCGCCACTGACTAACAGTCTCTATGTTGTGTCTGGTTTGAATCTCTTTTGACCTTCATCCAATCCATTGCCACATTCAAGAACTGATTTGGAACACTCGTTGGCTGGTTCATACAACACACTGAGTCTTAAACCTGGGCTAACAAATCATGGCTGCTGAGTTCACTTAATAAATAATGATGGTGTATGTGAAGAAGTGGTTGGTTGTCCACCAAACCCTGAACTGCTGACCACCCAAACCCTTTGCATTCAAGTTGCCTTACATCTTGCGTTAACCTGGATGTTGCCCCATCTAAATAAAGCATAGTGAGGTACCACTTGTCTATTGGTGGTATCTGATGGAACATCCCAAGATAACATCTCTTACTGCTTGATTATAAATGTTAAAAACGGCTTGATGCTCTGCAGTAGAATCCCAGGCAGAGTTTTAATCTCCATGTCTGGATTCTCCAGACGAAGTGGGAGTGGCTCCATTGCACTTTTCTCTAGGGAGTAACATAGACAGGATTTTGAGAGGACCGCCCTGCCCTGCCCTGCCCTGCCCTGCCCCTCTCTGAGAAGATCAGCCCACTAGGTGGCCACTATTGGTGAGAAATTTAGTCAGGAGATGCTGCCAAGTTGAAGTCTCACCAGATAATAACCCTCTTGCGTCATAATTGTTCTTCAAACAAAGAAGGCATTTATTACTTAAAAGACAACCCTTGTATTTTGGTGGTGGTGCTGCTTTTAATAGATGGATTGGGCCTTATAATATTAAATCTTACAGGGCTGATCCTCGTGATGTCAGTCCTTGCTTTTGTGCTGAGATTCCAAAGTCACATTCTCCCTTTCCTTTCCTTTCCTTTCCTTTCCTTTCCTTTCCTTTCCTTTCCTTTCCTTCCCTTTCCTTTCCTTTCCTTTCCTTTCCTTCCCTTTCCTTTCCTTTCCTTTCCTTTCCTTCCCTTTCCTTTCCTTTCCTTTCCTTTCCTTCCCTTTCCTTTCCTTTCCTTTCCTTTCCTTCCCTTTCCTTTCCTTTCCTTTCCTTTCCTTCCCTTTCCTTTCCTTTCCTTTCCTTTCCTTCCCTTTCCTTTCCTTTCCTTTCCTTTCCTTCCCTTTCCTTTCCTTTCCTTTCCTTTCCTTTCCTTTCCTTTCCTTTCCTTTCCTCTTTTTTTTTAATTTAAAGAATACCCATTCCCAGGCCTGCTTGAAGTCCTTCTTGGAGTGCCACGGCCTGTCCCTTCTCTGGATTTGGATGGCCGAACTTGGGGACAGCAGAGGAAACACAGCCAACAGTTTGAAACTGCAGCTGGAGGTCCGTGACTGGGGTTGCGCATTACATCGGATGGGCAGGTGTTGAAATGAGCAAATGGACTGAAGAGACCAAAGGCTGCTTTATGACTTCTCTCTGTCAGACTCGTGCATTCCCCGCAGCTTTCAGAGAGAAGGTTTCCTCAGCTCATCCACGATTTCATATCTCCATTTTCAGCGTTGCTTCTAGTTGTGACATCTGAGCATCGTTGTCTTTGCTAATGATTATGCTGGTTATTAGCAAAGCAGTTGGTAAACAACATTCTTGGGGGGGGGAACTTTGCAGAATCAGTTGTGCAAATAAAATGCCAGTAGCTGTCATTCCCAGTACATTTCTAATGCACCCCCATGGCTATACTGTACATTCATTTGAAAGTGGGAAAAGGGTTTGATTTGACCTGTAAACAGCATAAAGCTGAGAATTAATTTCAGATGAGAGGCCTTCATCTAATCTGTTTATGTATGTTCCATTATTCAGTGTTTTACTGTACAAGATACGTTTCCTGATTTCCAACTACATCTAAACTTAGATAGGAATAACTGGCCTTACAGCGGATTACTTCCAGATCCTGATTTTGAGAATTGGGAAGAAACTACAGGATTGCACACTGCCTTCTCTCCTCCCTTGTTTGCTGTGACATTCAGCATTAGCATATCCCCCAGACATTGCCTTACAGTTGAGAACCGGAGCTGCAGTTCCGGGCCAGTGTGATGGTGACGCCATGCGTGCGCGCAAGTGCGAGGCCTTGTGGTCGCTTTGTCCATGTTTTGACTTCATATTCTAGAGCAGTGTTCTTCAGCCTTGGCAGCTTTAAAATGTGTGGACTTCAACACCCAGAATTCCCCAGCTAGCATGCTTTAAGAAGTGTGGACTTGAATTCCCAGAATTCTCCAGCCAGCATGGCTGGCTGGGGAATCCTGGAAGTTGAAGTCCACATGTCTTAAAGTTGCCAAGGTTGAAAAAGACTGCTGTAGAGGGTCAGTGTCTGTTAGTAGTGATGGAGTATTTGTTACTTCCAGTATTGGAACCTGTAGTTGTATAACTCCCAGCTGCCAGGGATTGTGAGCTGTGACACTGTTGCATTTCTGGACAGCTGGAAAGGAGAATCCCGAACTCATAGTACACGGCAGCTCCTCTTATGTTCTCATGCATGTTCTAACCAACCTTTGCTGATTCAGACAGCAATCTATAGTTGGTAGTCTGTAGGAAACATAGGAAGCATGTGACTTTCCAGTTCCAGTGTGAACTCCTACATTGGATGGCAAAAATCTAGAATGTCTTGCTCTCTTTAGGAAACTTAACTGTAACCAAAGTACTGGTTATTGAAAATTAACCACCACTACGTTGTGTTTTGTGATAGATTATAAAGACTTTGGAGCTTCTGCCTATTCCTAACAAAAACATGTTGGAGGAGAGCAAAGTGCTCCCGATAATCCAGCGCTGGGCCCGGACCAAGTCTGCCATTCCACAGCTCAGCGAAGGGGATGGTTATTCCAGTGAGAACACATCTCGGGCTCATACGCCACTCAACACCCCCGACCCTTCCTCTAAGCCTGTCCTTGAGGGCGAGACAGACACTCCTAAGAAGGTTGCTTTTCGGAGGCTCAAAATCATAAGTGAAAACAGCATGGACAGTGCGCTCTCCGACACAGCCAGCGAGATTGAGTTGAAGGAGAACAAGGAAGACCTTGACCATCCAGACCATCTCCCACCAGAAGCAGTGGACGAGCAGCCACTAGAGCAAGAGTCCACCAAGGATGCCACTGCCGAGGTCCTGGTGGACACCAGCAAAGCCCACGCTGCTGAGCAGGAGGCGGAGCCTGAGGTGGAGGCAAAGGAGAGCCAGACCCCCAAACTGGAGGACTCTGTTGCTGCAGAAACCCCCTCTCAAGATGAAGAGGAAGGTGTGTCAGACGTGGAGAGCGAAAGAAGTCAAGAACAGACTGATAAGTTGGTGGATCTGAGTGACTTGGCCACCAAGCTCCTGGACTGCTGGAAAGACCTAAAAGTAAGTTGGATTCTCTGGAAAAGTTGCTGTTAGCATTCTCAGTTAAGGTTCTAAAACCTTTATGTGTTTCTTTGTGCTCACACATACAGGTTCCCATGTGGGAGAAAAAAAACCAGAATGGGATAAACTAAGTCATGTATGTGCTTTGCAGAGAAATGCTCAGAAACATCATGATCTCTGCTTCCCATTTCCATCCACATTATCTTTGCCGCGTGGCTTTCAGCCATGGAAGGCGTAAATTTTGCTCAACTGTAGAAAGGAAATGGAAGTCACGTCATCTACAAACAGGACTGAGTTTGGAGTCCTGCGTGGTACAATTTAAATTTGGGCAAACTGGAGTTTCAGTATGTTAATTTCAAACAAACTGGAAGTCCTTCCATTAGAAAACGGTTTTCTAATACAAAGTAGGCATGGGTTTTCCTGCTAATATGTGAATTTATTGGTCATGTGGTAAAATTGTCGTTCATTTGATATAAAACCCTGTCTCTTGCAAAGCATTCGATGAACGTTGCAAACCTGTTTTGCTTTTCCAAGCATGGCAAATAGCCTAGAAGTGCTCAGGGTCCCCAGGGGGGTTGTGATGTATTGCTACTGAATTGTTAGTAACTTAGCCCGGAAAAAAAACAGAAGCCTGGAAGGACTAAGATAGGGGAGCCCTTCCAGGAGAAGCGGAAGACACAGTGAGCCTGGATTGTCCCTTTTGCCCTTGACATTTCAGAAGATGCAAACATCTCCAGTCTCTGTCCCTTTCCTGCCTCAGCTTCTGTATAGGACAGCGGCAGAGACAAGGCCGTCTCCTCCAAGGCCTTTCCAAAAGTTGCCCTTGAATGGTAGAAAAATATTAATTGCATGGGACATAATCCTATGAGCTCCAATTAATTTAAATGAAAAAAAAAATCTGATTTAATTTTTGACCAATCCCCATCCTTTCCTTCCTCGGACCCTGCCTCTTTTTTGAAACGGGGCTTGCAGTTTCAGCTCTCCACTCAAGACCTAAGAAAGAGGTCTTCAGTCTGCTTCAGAAGAGAGTCCTAATGTGCCGCTTTCCAGTAAGGAGATGCAAGGGAGGCTCAGCATGTGATTTAAGGTGGAGGGATGCAAATTGAGAGAGATGCTGAACGGCCTCGGTGTCTGAATTCTTGACAATAATCTGCGTGTAATTTAGCGTTGACCCAGTTCTGAGGTTAGGCATAATTCCCCTGAGCTGGCGTCTGCAGATTTGCTCAGGTGGCCATTTTCAAGTGGAGAAAGAAGCTGAAAGACCTTGAGTGACCTCAAGCCCTCCCCTCCCTCTCCCCCAGTTAAAAGATTAATTTTGCATTTATCTATAAAAAGATTAGTAGAGAGCATAGTAGATATATTTTAAGTTAATATCGTTGGTTCTCAGAAGAATTTGAGTTGGATTTGCAGAGTGAGTATCCGGTGAGACCATTGATTCTGCCAGGGGAATGAAAAGAGTATTAACGAAGTGCGTAATTAATAACACAGCAAGCCAGGCCAACGAATGTCAGAATAAGAGTAAGACTGGGTGTCTTGCTCCCATCCTGCCTGGAGTGTGTACAGTGTGCATTGCACACTGCAGTGGCAACTTTGTGGTTGCTTGCAAGAGTGTTATTCTACCCAGTAGGTGAAGAGAGAAGACATCAGGTGCACTTCATCCTTTCCTATCCCTCGTTACATTTTTCTTTATGTATTTTTTGGTATGTTTACAATATTGGTATTCTGTATTCAGAGGTTCCCTGGACCTATTATCCAGTCTGGATTGAAATAGAATATATTGTGAGCCTGGTGCATGTTGCTTTCTATCATGGAAGAGCATTAATCAGACTCACTCTTGTGCATTAGGGAGAAAATATTTCTACAAGATTGTAGCTACAGGGGGTTGCGCCTTAGCTTCATCTCTGCATGTCTTATTCATTCCCCAGACTTTCTTGTCAGTCTGTGCCCCAGTGTCGGGCATTGAAGAGCAGAACTAAAATTAGGTCTGAACAAAACTTCTAAGAGCAGTTTAATTACATTGCAGGTTCAGAATTCACAAATTTAATCTTGGTGTGAGGTAAAGCATGGAAATATGTATATTTTGCTAAGCTCTTTTATTGTTTCTTTCCCTTTTGGGATACTTCTGGCTCTTGGCTCAAATCTTGGCTAGCTATGGAATCATTATCTATCAGAAGTTACTGTTTCAGATTTTAAAGCCCTTTTATTTACTATTTGATATCACATAGTAATATTCAGAAAGCCAGGATGGGGCTTTTAAGGGACTGACTTTGGGTATATGGATCTAATTAAATCTCTGATGCAGGTTCTCAGTGCAGTGGCATCCATGTATCTGAAATCACACCCTCTTATATTCCCATGTTTGGGGTTTACTAAAATCTGTCCTGTATATTCTCATGGCATTAAGAGTTAGCTGCTTCTGTCTGACCTTTTCAGGACGGTCACTTGACCATTGGAGCAAAAACTCTGTAACGAGTTCCAGGTTGGAAGCATTGCTGATAAATGGCATATTTTATCTTTTTGACCAGATGAAAAGGAAGAATATTGAGAAATGTCTCAGGGAAAGACCTGTAATCTGCTCACCCTGTTCAGTGACCAAAACTGGAAGAGAAAAGGTCAATATGGGTGGTTCTTAGAGTCTTCCAGTGGTGCGCTGGTCAACTGTGTCATACTTTGGAAGCACTGGGTGGGAGGGTGTGCCAAGCTTGTAACTTAAAGCTGTGTCCTTCCCAACCTCTAATGCTGACCCCCTTGTAGTAATTTCAACCATTTCCATCCAGCTTCTCAGGGCAGCAAGGAGCTTGTTAACATCCCCAGCTGACCATGAGTCTCCTTTTCTCAACTCCATTTCCAACTCCGTCCTGAAGAAAGGAGAGAACCTAGCGTGCGTACTGTGAAGAAAACAGGAAGATGGTTGGGAAGCTGGATGATGCATGAGAAATATTATAGGTCGAAAATGAAAGGACAGAGGTGGCTAACTCATTGATGCCGACGTAATTTTGGTGCGTCCATTGCCGGCAATGGATGTCGCTCTGGGAGAATCCCCCTATTCCTGGCGGGAGAGGATCGAGTGAGCTATTCCTTTTTTTATACATACACCTCTTCACACATCAAACGGCTACTCTGGCTTGGCGTTTCAAGGCCTTTCTGGTTGGAAGCCTTGAATCCAAGACAGGGTCGACCAGCCAAACACAATCCACTGGAACCTGCACAGCACACAGATCCAGCAGGGTACGTTTTCAGCATGGGTTTCTGCAACTGTTCCCCATCAGCTAAGGAAAGGATGCATGTGTCTCCCTGTGCTGAAAACGTACACCGTAGTGGAAGAGCCGTTCATCAGGGAATGGCTAGCAACCAGCATAACCTTGGTTTAGCTCACACAAAGACCTGGAACGTGGCTGTGGATGTAGGAGAAACAGGTAAGTGTTCCAGGAAAGACTGATGACATTAGCGCTGCCGAAAGCATCAGAGCATCTTTAAGGTAGGATGAGTAATGATTCCATTGCTGGCCACCTCTCCAAATTGGAACCAAAGAGCTGATAGCATGGTTTACCATAATGTTATCAGGGAGGGAAATTCTTCACTGCACCATGGATGGTCCTTTCAATCCAGCATGATGTCCAAGAGCCATTTTTCATCCATAAGTAAACAAGAGTATTTTCTTTGTTACCTAGCAGCTCTGCCACTAGAATTAAATCATGGATCTATTGAACATAACGTCTCCTTCAGGCTAGTTTCATACTATTTGCGTCTGAGGTTTTGGTGGAGGGGGTGCCTTCGAGTCAGCGTTGACTCCTGGCAACTGCCTGGACATGTCCCTGCAGTTTTCTTGGCAGGATTTCAGAAGTGATTTGCCATTGCCTCCTTTCTAAGGCTGAGAGAAGTGACTGGCCCAAGGTCACTCCCTTGGCTTTGTGTCTAAGGCGGGACTAGAACTCACAGCCTCCCAGTTTCTAGCCTGGGGCCTTAACCACTACACCAACCTGGCTCTCTTTGTGTCTGATAATTAATATATTTGCATTGATTCAGTCATCCATGGAGTTAATAAGAATGCATTAAGAAGTGGTTAGGGTCAAACTCCTGACTTTTACAATGTGTTTAGGAAGTGAAAAATCCTTTAGGACATTTGATGAAGTAGTTTACTTATCCTTTTTGCTGGGAACACAAATATGTCAACTTAGTCCTTTTCCTTGGATTAAGACTCCGGTTCCAATGGATCCATTATCTTAACAATCAAGTAATTAGAGATTAAAAATTAGAGATAATAGGTCTGAAAAATTCAACTTCTGGACAGTAGTAGACCCTCTTGTTCTTATCTATATCAACCCATATCTGTCTCTTAATTGGTTTCCCCTCTTGTGTGGTTCTTTACTCTGACTAGTAACCTTCAGTTTAGGGAAATAAATAGTATCTCTCTCCAATCTGTTAACTGTCCTCCATTCTGTGGTTGTGGTTAGGAAAAAGCTTTCAGGCTACATGGAGCCTGTAGCAGTTTTTGCCCACTTGGTGATTACCCATTTACCTTATATTTACCCCATATCAGTGTTTCTCAAACTTGTGAACTGTAAGACATGCAGACTTCAACTCCCAGAATTCCCCAGCCATGCTGGCTGGGGAATTCTGGGAGTTGAAGTCCACACATGTTAAAGTTGTTGAGATTGAGAAACACTGCCCTATATGAAAGTGAGGACACCATGGACTCTGAAGAGTCTAAACATTAAGGCCTCTTATTCCACAGTATAAGACCATATTTGAGTAAGCTGTGGCTGTTGAACGTAATATGCTAATTTTATATTCAAGCATATTTTTAATGTTTGATGTCAGGTAGTGGCTTTCCCTTTGTGTAACACTCAGCAGTGCTGGCACTGTAAAAATCTCTTATTCTATTCTTAATCTAAGAATCCCTTATTCTTACCCTTAGTAAGAGTCAGATGTGTAATCTTTCATATTTGGCTCCGGATCACAATGAAATTTCTCTGTAGCGTGCAGACATACGTTCTCAC